GCTTGCCAGGCAGGCGCTGTGCCACTGAGCTAAATCCCCAGCCCCTAGTACATAGTACTTTTAAATCAAGGAAAGGTCAAACTATAGCCACCTGGTGAGGGGATATTATATTTCCAGCTCAAAGTGGCACTGAACACCCCAACCTAATGCTTCCTGATAATGTCAGTTTCCAGAGATAAAAATTTACCTTGGGAGTAAACTCAGCGCTCTATGCGGTAGTTCTGCACAGGCTCCAAAGGAAAGGAAAAAGGCTTGCTTGGCGGGGCTTGCAATTACACTGAAACATAGTTACACTCATAAGGGAATGAAATCATGAATGAAGTAAAATTCTAGATGAGAGGGTACAGAAAGTGGGTATGGTCTGGGTTCAATAAGAGAGCAGTTCTGGGATTGAAAGTCAGAAGGGCAAGGACGATGAAGAGGGTGGGGGTTGAGGTCTGGATTTTACTCTCACGGCCCGGGTCAGCATGGAGTAGAAGCCTCAGGTCTCTCCTGTCTTTCTTCCCAGCTTCCTGTACAGTACTGGAGCCTTTATTGACTGCTGTCTGTCAAGACTTTATGAGAATAGTCTTTTGTATTTCTATTCCTTTTATTTGAGAGGCTAAAAGTAGGATAATTTTTCAAAAGGGAAAGGTGAGAAGAAATAAAAAGAACGAGGAAGGAGTCTGAGAACCTCGCTTTACACTAGCACACTCGCTAGGAAGGAGCTGCGAACTCGGCCCTCAGGGTTTCTTGTAACCACAAAGGGAATCAAGATTCAGGGAAGACAGGGTACGTTGCTCAAGAGGAAGTTGCTCTTGGTGCTGGTTTGTAATAAACATTATCTTCAGTGATCTCTTTAAATAACTAGAACAGTGAGTTCTTAGGTGTGTTCTTACCACAGCTCTGAATGTAATTGGTCAGGGGTGCTCTTTATTCCAGTGTATTCAAGGATAATTCAGGAGGGCATTAGTTTTTATTTTACTTATTTAACAAACGCATATGTCTTGAGCTATGTTGTGAGGACTTCGCAAATACTAACTTGGTTATGCCTCATAGCAACTTTATCATCTTGCTTTACACTTGAGCAAATTGAGTCAGGGGGACACCGGGCAGTTTGCCCAAGTCCCAAAGTGCGTGAGAAGCAGAAAGAGAATTTGCACCAGGTGGTCTGTGCTTCTGCTCTCTGCATTCTGCTGTATTTTGTGGCTGTCTGTAGATGGATATTACTCCTCTAGGACTCAGAAGTACAATCAAGTTTTAGAATAATACACAGATTTCCTGACCCTCAAGTGTGCGTTCCTAAACATGGCCACTCATCTCTGTCAAAATCACTGACGAAAACTTTGGGACGGATGTGGTCACTGCGATTGCCCACAATGACCCACTTATGTGGCCAGAGTGCCATCTGCTCAAAGTGTCGCTGGAATCAGGGCTTCTCAGAGATGGGCCACTCTCATGTGGTATTAATCCTTCTCCTCCTGAGAGCTGGGCTTGTAGTACACAACTGAATCAAGCCCTCTTTGCCACAACTTCCTGAATGACCCTTTGGTGTAACTATCACCACCAGAGATACTGCTTTCCAGATGGATCGGTGCATCTGTAAAGGTGGTACGTCTCAATGATTTATCCCAGTCTCCACCGCAGTCCACCTGGGTGTTTGCTGCAGTTGCCATGGTCACTGGTAAAATTAGGTCTGAATGTGTGTTTTTAAAGAGAGGCATTATGGGGCTGGGGATTTAGCTCAGTGGCACAGCGCCTGCCTGCCAAGCGCAAGGTCGTGAGTTTGATTCCCAGTACTGGAAAAAAAAAAAAATTAAAAAGAGAGGCATTATGTTCATTGCTCCTCATTTAGCTTTTCAAAGATGATCGCAAAAGCTACCTTTCTAGGTTTGATTATAGTAAGTAGTTAATATTTCTAGGCTTTAAATCTGTTAATTAAAATTCTATGCAAGTTTCATGTAGAAAATTAAGATGATTAAAGTTTTCTTAACTTTTAAGTTTAACTTTTGTGAGTTTATTTTCTTTCGATGGTTGAAATGTTGACAGTTTTATAATCTGTATTTTCAGATTTAGACTATGTTTTTGCACACTTCAGTGGCATCTTTCTTACAAGTACAGTCTACTTTCTGGTGTACTGTATAGCCATGAAAAACAGTCCTAAACTCTATCCTGGGGCAGTTTTACCAGGTAAGAATATTCACTACAAAAACCTTATTACCGTGTGAATGTATCAACCTCTAAGAAGTTAGCTTGAATAAATTGTCTTCTGGAAACAAAGCTATCTTGTGTGTGTGTGTGTGTGTGTGTGTGTGTGTGTGTGTACGCATATGTATTTTCTTAATTGCATAACATTTTCTTAATTCCTTTGACTTAGTTCATCAACATATAAGAAGTACTTAAAAAGTATGAAACAATATGAAATGCTGGACATTAGTATAGAATCTAAAATTTATTGAACCATGAATCTAAGATTTTTTTATGACACAACTTCTTCTGCTTTGATTATCAGTCTTTGCTATTTCTTATCACCATCTATGGATTCATATTAAAAATCATAGTTCTTTAACTTTATAAAAATTTTTCTAAAGTGTCAACAAATAAGAATTGGGAGAAGTTTCCTGAAAAAGTAACAAGAGATTGTTATAGCCCTCTGGGAAAGTGGGTTAAATGCACACGCTTTTGATCTTAACCATTAGGCATTAAACCTAATTAAAGTAGTTAAAATAATAACAATTTCTCAGTTAGGATTTACTGTAATTTAATTTTGGGATATAGGTCCATAAGTAAAATTTTAGAAATATAAAGTAAAGCATTATTTAGAGATTTACTTTAAATGCCTGAGTGACTGGAGCTTGTAGGCTATCATCTAGAAGAGAGCAGGATATTTACCAAATCCCTACCTGGAGTGTTGTGAAAACCTGAGCTGATGTTTTCACTTAGATGCGGGACTCTTTCCGCTTAGCTCCTGCATCATTCTGCACTCACTTCTCTTTGTGTCTACGGTTAGAGCGACAGTGTGGGCAAAAGTGTGAAGATACAGGACTTCCCCAGGCCCCACTCCAGTACCCAGCTGCCACTCAACAGCTACTTGGGGTACTTTATTTAATGTCAGAGAAGGGAAAGGATGGATTATCATACCCATAAGAGCCAAGAGCAGAGAAACTGTCTGGTTTTGTAGATAGAGAAACTATCAGAGCCGTGGATATAGCTCAGGGGCACCGTGCCTGCCTGGAAAGTGGGAGGTCCTGGGTTTGATTCCCAGTACTGAAAACAGAAATTCCCTACTGGCCCACAGTGCTGATAGGAATGCATTTATCTGTGCATGTGGATCTCCCGTCTGTTGCAGCTGTCCACCTTCCTGGACTGGCACATAGCTCGCTGTCTGTGTTTCAGGGTTCCTGTCTGGAGTGCTGTGGGCCATCGCTACCTGCTGCTGGTTCATAGCCAATCACTCTCTCAGTGCCGTGGTCAGCTTTCCAATAATCACCGCTGTAAGTGCCAAGATGTTTCTCTGAATTTGTGCTTTTCAAATGCAAATCTTACTTTTCTGAAGCAATCTTACAGAGGAAAAAGGCTGTAGAGGAGTTTGCTTGTTTCTGGAGTGAAATGTAAAGCTGGAGGTAAACGGCCATTCTCTAAGCTCCTCATCCCCAGGTGCTAAGGGACATGCATACCCTCATGTTGATGGGCTTGCCAGTGCTGAATCTGAGGAACCCTGGCAGGTCTTTGTTCATTGCACTAGTCAGTGCTCCACTACTGTGACAAAACGCCTGAGAAGGGAAACTTAAAGGGGGTGAGGTGCGTTTGGCTCACGGTTTCCTTCCAGGGTCAGCTGAGTCCAAGGCAGAATCATCATGGCAGCAGGGTGAGGCAGAGCAAAGCCACTCACCTCATGGCAGCTGGGAAGGAGAGAGAAAGGAGAGGAGGGAGGAGGGTGGAGGGCGCTAGGACAGGCTGAGGACAAGTCACACCTCTGTAGGCCGCCCCTGGTGACCCACTCTCCCCACTTAGGCCCTCTTCCCACACTTCCTATCTGCCCTCAACAGTGTGCTCAGTCCCGACATGGTCGGTGGATGAATCCCCGGATGATCTCCAGCCCCTTGTGGTCTGCTTGGTGCATATTGTTGCACTGCAGACGAGTCTTCCATCCCAGATCGAAACGGTTAACATTCGACTGAAAAGCAACAAAGAAGGAGGAGGGGAGGGAGAGGTTGGGGGAGAGAGGAAGGAGGGGGAGGAAGAGGGGGAGGGCCGGGGAGGGGGAGGGGAAGGACAAAGCCCATCTGGCAGAGGAAGGGACCTGTTACCTCTGCTCCAAGTCTCCTGTGATAATTCTAAAAGCCACATCAGCTTGTCAAAACGTTTAACTTCTGGAAATAAGACCAAGCCCACCTTGTTTTCCAAGACTGGGTTCCGTGTAATTTGCACTCATTTACGAAAGGAGACCGTCCGTCCCATTTGTGCAGTGGGTTGTATCTCTTATAGCGGACGTGCTTCCTGTCTCCCTCTGCTTTCCCTGAAGCAGCCATTCATTCACAGGCTGACATATGCTGGCATCAATGTTGGCAAAGCACTGCTTCTTATACCCACATTCCTCCTCGCGGAGTTCTCAGGCCATGTCTAAACTAATACTCAGAAAATCATCAGGCAGCACCCACTGGGCAACATAGGCCTGTAATCCCAGCACTCCAGGAGGCTGAGGCAGGAGGATCATAAATTTAAGGCCAGTCTGGACTACCTGGTGAGAACCTGTCTCAAAAACACAAGAATGTCAGGCAGCTTCAGATGACAGTGATACCTGGTGTACTGTCTTCAACCATATTCTTGGGAGGGAAACGAGATTTTGCAGTAAAGAAAGTAAAAATTCTTGCACAATTGAGGTCACATTAATATTAAATCCCCTCCTCTGTTTCCTCCCATCCTGAGTCAGCGTGGTGTTGTATGACAGGCCCGGGTAGGTCTCATTTGCTGTGGACTTTGAGGCTCAGGATTTTACATCACTGATAAAGCAGCCCCTTTGACCCACTTCCCTGGCCCTTTGATGTTGGATCTCAGATGCTGAGAAACAGAGAGTAAAGAATTTGTGTTGCTTCACTTCCATGCCTGGAGAGGAATCAGACTCTGTGGACCCTGTCGCTTAGACTAGTTGGAGTTGTGGTGGGGCAAACGCCTTGGAATCATTTATTTGAAACCCTTGCAGGGTTTCCACAGGTTATGGAGCAGAATCATTAAAGATGCTAACTGGATGCAGCTCTCCACAAAGCCCATCCTGGGCCAAAGTCCATTTTCTTCCTTGTGGGTTTAAAAGAAACTATCAAAACCAAATAGCTTGGAATTTTCAAAAATTGCAGAATCTTTTATTTTCCTCCTATCTTTTCATTTCCTTCGTCCTGTTTTATTTCATTCTTGTCTTTGTAGCCATGCGGTACTTCCTTTTGTGCTTCTTTGCTTATTTTTTATCTTTTCTTATAACTACCCTTTCGCATTCCTTTGTGTTTATTGTGAAGCATACTTTGTAGCACTGCAATTGTAATACTTAAAAATTCTTTTGAAATATGTGATGTTTCCATACGCACATTACTTTTCAGGCCCACAGACATGCTAAAATTTCTTTAGTTGTGAAATTATCTAATGCTAAAGAAAGTTAAAAGTTCTATGGTACAAAACATTATATAGCATCATCAAAATAATAACCATTAAAACCATGAAGAAAAAAATGAAAAAAAAGTGTTTACACTGTACTTAATGTTACTTGAGATTTAGCTTAATGTGGAATATTGGTAGTTTTCCATGAAAATATTTGTGTAGAGTTATAAGAAAATGTTCAATTTAATCAAACTTTTTATTTTTATTTAAGGGTCCAGGATTTATAGCTGCACTGTGGGGTGTCTTCATTTTTAAGGAAATACGGGTATGTATTAGAAAGGGCAAATTTGGGAACTAAGAATACATCCAGGTAAGAAGGTATTTAACATTATGTTTGTGTTATTTTCTGAAAACTGGGCAGTACAGGAGTGGGCTGGACAGCTCGAGTGATTAAAAAGGCCTATTGCTTAACTGAAAAGAAAGTACTAGAGTTATTCTAATTGCTGTGAAACATAAGGCCTCTTTCCACCTGTACCCAGGTGGAAAAACGGGTATAACCCAAAAAAGTACGAGAGAGACTTGTTGTATTTTACATTGTAAAATGTTACAGGATGATGAATAAGATGAAGGGCTTTTTAGCCCAAGACTTAAAGTAACCCCTGAGGCAAATGGAATTTGAGGCATTGTCTTCATATTGGCAGCGACTCCCAGAGGCCTTTGCGTCCAACCGGATGCTTTACAGGAAATCACCGGATGTAGCTGTCAGTCTCTTTCCAGTGTGGTGGTGGGACTTCTAAATTGCCATCAGATAGTTCCAGTACATGTGTGTGTTCTATTAAAAATATTTGAGGGGCTGGGGATTTAGCTCAGCGGCAAAAGCGCCTGCCTGGCAAGCGCAAGGTCGTGAGTTCGGTTCCCGGTACCGGAGGGAAAAAAAAAAAAAAAAAAAAATTTGAGAACTTTTCCTAATTCTCTGTATCTGTCGAAAAATTCTTCAGTTGAAGATTTTATGTTAATAAAATTTTGTACTAGTTTTTACTAAAGACAGTGTCAATTGAAGACTATATGTTTGCGCTTTATAGATAGTACTTTCTGTCTAAATACGCAGCATCATAACAACTAATTCTTGCTCCTAAGAAGATCTGACGTTGAGAATCACTGGGAGCCATAAAATGAATGTGTTCTTAGCTCATCTTTAAGAAGTATTCAGTTTTAGCTGGGCGTAGTGGCACACACCTATAATTCCAGCACTTGGGAGGCTAAGGTAGGAGGATCGCTGGGAGTTTGAGGTCAGCCTGGATTACACAGCAAGTCCCTGTCTAAATAAATAAACAAATAAATAAGTGTATTCAGTCGAGATGGGGCAAGTTCAGGGTGGTATGGCTGTAGACAATAAATGTATTCAATCTTAATTTTAAAGTATATCATTAATTTTAAATGTTTTCAAATTGAAAAAGCATAAGTTGATAATACAAGTAAGATTCCCAGATTAAATAAACCATAAGGTTTTATAAATGTTTAAAATATGAAGTGAATTTTGATTTTTTAAGTATTCAGGAATAATTTAAAATTTTTATAGACCCATAAGCTACCTTCATGAGCATTTTTCCATTTATTTAAACTGAAGTTCTTTGTTTAAAAAAAGGAGCTTTATGCCCAAAATGTTATAAATCTATCTGCAAATATTTCATTTCCCTCAAAAATTATAATTCATTTCTGTTGAGGAATTAGGTATTTAACATGCTGACACCAGAGACGAGTATAAGTTAATGTTTGTAGATGTTTTTGCTACGAGAGGTGTAAAGAAGCACAAAGTAAGAATAGATTTGTTTATAAAACATTGAAAAATCATTTTAGTTACTAATGCACTAATAATACTGTATTGAAAATCTTCTTATCCTCATGTAAAAACTTCCTTCAAAGACAGAGTCCCTACCCAGTAAGTCCAGTACTAATTCTTCAGAGTTATTTAAAAGAATGTTCAAAGGAAGTTGCTTTGTTTCCTAAAGATATTTTTTAAAAACTACTTCACACCAAGAATAGAGAAGTAACTTTTAAGATTAATATATCATGGCCAATTAATATTTAATTCAGGAACAACCCAGCAGACACACATCTTAGCTGAAGCAAAAGTTCTCAATAAGTTGGAAGTCAAAGATTTTTCCATCAATATTTTTTTTTTTCTGCAGCTCTAGCCAGTTTGGTAAGAGATGACTAAGAAACAACCACGACAGCTATAGGAAAGAAAATGAAAAATTACCACTTGCAGTTAGCATTGATTACAAGAGAATAAGCTGACAATCTTAAAAAGTCCAGTAAGATCACTTGGTAAAGTTTGAGACAGAATCCGAGGAAATCAATAACTTTCTAATGTATCACCAATAACGAGTAACAAAGACAAAAAATGACTTTAATAATAAAATTTACGTACATCTAAGACAAATCACAAAAAAATACATATTTATACAGTTACAGATTTTACATGTTTAAAAGTCTATAACCTCAGCTTCCAGGCCCGATCCTGAGCTATGCACACCTTTAGTTTGAGCACTTAATGATTTGCTTTGGTTGTAAGGTCATCTGCTGACAATTTTGACACTTCTGATGTTCCCTTGTATCTGATGTTTGTTATTTGGGGGGAAATATGTTTCTGAGAATTAAACTGATAAGCTAGATATAGATTCTGTTTTTACCAACAGACTTTCATCAGCTTGTCTACAGTAACACCAACACCATAGGCTATTTTCATAATTTATAGCTCAGTAGCTACTGCTGGGTGAAAGCATGACATTATCTATTATTTAGAAACTGCTTCAGAAATCCACACTTAAAACTTTTTTGCTAGGATGTCGCTGTGCTCTTTCACAGACTTAATGTTCACCTTTGTGAAAAAAAAAAACTACTGCTACTAACAAAATATTATCAGTCCTTCTGTAGGACACTAGACAGCTCGATAGATTCTTAAAACCTTAAAGGGGAGGTTTTTTTAATTCCTGAAAACATTTATCTTCTGTATACATAGGTAACAGAAAGTTCAGCAAAGTATTCACATAACCGAGCTGTGGGGTGATTACAATTGCCCTCTTTCTTTTATGTAATTGCATTGATTTCTAATTCTCTTTCTGATTAACAAAGCACATTTGGAAATTGCCTGAGTGTACTCATCTTTTGGAAGAATATTTATTACAGTGCCTACTGCACACTAGTACCAGTATCTAGGTTAAGGTTGAAGATTAAAATTTAGGAGGAGCCTCACTGCAGTGTGTGTGTGTGTGTGTGTGTGTGTGTGTAAGCTGCTGTGTGTGAAGCAAGGCGTTAGGGCGCTGTGTTTGATTTGTAGAACTTGTGATGAGACCGATGTCTACCAGTGCTAATGCTCACAGTGAATCTGCCCATTCCACTGACCTCAGCCTGGCTCACAGAGATCATCTCTGGGTGAAGAAAAGCAAACCATCCACTCCAGCCCAGCTCTTCGTCAAGTTGAAAACTAGTGTACCTAACTTCGTGGTATTTTCGGTTATATATTAATTGGCATTCATCCTAATAAGAGCCAGTTAATGGAAGAACCACTTCCTCAGGAGTTTGTGCAGCCCTCCTCATCCTGGCTGTTTTTTTTGCTCCTTCTAGTTTGTAAATAGAGCAGATTGACCTCTGATCTCTGCCATTTTTTCTGCAAGCTGGAGCTGGAGAATCTCTAAGGAGATCTAGGGAGTGAGGCCGTCTGAGGCCACCTAGAAGCCTCCCCTTGCAGTGAAAGCCCCACTGCGCTCCCCATCCTGTCCGAGCCGCCATCTGCCTGCCCGTCCAGTGACAGCTCTCCCACTGGGTGTGCTTCACAGCGCACCTGGAGGAAGGGCAGGAAAGAGAGAACATCTCCCTACCGCACACATCTCTGTAGGGGTGCACAGGTCTCCCCAGGCCTCCAAGTTGCTGGGGCCTTCTGCCTCATTCCCATTTTCCTGCAGAACCTGAGTGATTCTACCTGATTTATAATTAGATCCTTGCTTTTTTCCTTCTATTTTTAATTGAAAAAAAATAGTGTATAATTTGACTATTAGAAGCCCTGTAAGGCGAGACTGTACTTCTACGATTATGGAGGTCATCAATCCTGGTTTCATTTGGGCTGCTGAAGCCCTGCCTTGGAGTATTAGAGTCTTTCTGTCCTGAACGGGAACATAAACCAACTGGCATTGTCTCAGTGGGGGATGCCTGGAGCCATCCACATGAAAAATGACCACAGGAGCTGAAGTATTGACCAGGAAAAGAGATGCCTTTGGGGATAGAAGATGATTGTATTTCAATGCTTGAAGGTTTATCTAGTGAGAGAGATATTAAAATTGATTTGGCGGTACCAAGAGATAGATCTCACAGGACGTGAAATATTTCTGTTTAACACTGGAAGGTATTTCTTTGTTGATCCACAGGTGGGCTGGGCTGCCTTGGGACATGACACTAAGTGTTTCCAGCCCCTAAACACAGAGAGGAAGTGGGTCTTCGGCTCTCTTCCTGTCTCTGTTTCTTCCTCCCCCTTCCGGTGCAGCTCTTCCTCTCCATCTGAGCTTTTCCATCTTCCCTCTGGAGCAATGCAGTTGCATCTTAGTTGATTTCCACGCATCCACCCGACTCCCTCCCATCTGTTACCATCCAGCAAAAGTGCAGGCTTCCCAGAGTGCAAACCTGGTCTTCCCGGCACATGGAGGTGCCCATTCTCCTCGTGTCTCCATGGCTTGGAAAGACAGAATCCCAAAGCTTGAGCAGACTGTCAGACTCCCAGCCCTCAGGCAGGTCCTACCTCCTCCTCTTGTTTGTTTGGGTTAAGCCTTTAAGCCTAGGGCCACTGCACTGCTGAGTGTGTCCCCAGCCAGCCAACACCAACCTCCTGTTCAGACAGGGTCTTGCCAGGGTGGCCTTGAGCTCTACATCCTCCCGCCTCAGCCCCCAGAGTAGCTGGGATTGTAGGCGTGGGTTACGGAGCCTGCTTCTGTGTAACCTCTTTTTGCTCTCTTGGTCGCTCATTGCTCCAGTCACACTGTCCTTCTGTCTTGGGACGCATCTTGCTTTCTCTTACAACAGGGCTTTGCAGTGAAATTCCTTCTACCGGGACCTACTCACATCCTCACTTCCCCGGGCAGTTGGTCGAAAGTTGTCACTAGAAGCTCAGCTACCCACCCTCGAATCTTATTAAGGGCCCACGACACATTCTTAAAGGACCGGCTTGCTTTGCGGCAGTGGCGGCTTGCTTTGGCGGCTTGCTTTGCGGCAGCCCTCTGGTGCCAGGCTGATCTCTGATGACCTGATTCCTTACTGTCTCCTGTGTTATTCGATTAGTTGTATCACAGAGTGTACAGCGGGCGCTCACCTGCATTCACCGAGTGGGTGAGTCAGAAAGACTGGCGGGCTTTGAAGAGAATCTGAATAATTACCAAGAAGGTGAACCCCCAAAGCACTCCAGGTGGCCGGAGCAGATGTCCAGTACAGGTGTGGGTTACCGAGCCTGGCTTGGTCATCTAGCAATCTTGAATCTGTTTCATGAGCATTTGGTTTAGGTTTTGTATTACAGCATCGTCATCATTATTGCTATTATTACTGTTACTGCATTGTTGTTATTCAGGGTCTGCGAAACTACTTCCTACTGGTGCTTGCGTTCTGCGTCATCTTGGCCGGAGCCCTGTGCACAGCTTTCTCTAAAGTCTGACCAGCAAATGGCAGTGTGGCCAACGCACTCCTCCATAGGAAGAATCAGGCACCGAAGGGATCCGTGTCTGAGTGGGCAAAAAACTGTTCTCCCACAAATGCGAGAATAAAGTAAAACTAGGCTTCAGTGAATTTTAAAAATGAAAAATTCTGCTGATGGACTGTTGGTGAGGGTCAGATTTAGTAGACAGCTCAGATATCTATGCTGTTGGAGCGTTACATCTGAGGTGTGGTTCTGCTGTTGTTTCTCGTTTGGTTTTGCTTTTTGTTTTTCCCAGTGCATACCTAGCGCTGCAGAACCTGGAAAGCAGTGTGGGGCTCATCTGCAAATGAGTCACCGCCCACATTTCTAACTTATTAAGCAAGAAAAACCAGAGATAAATACCTTGCAGGGAGTATGGAGATTTACCTTATGGAATTAAATTTCAAAGTTACCTGGATCCTTTGCAAGAGAAAGTAAATGTCAAGGTCGGTGCTTACATGTTAAAAAGGCCACTCATTATTTAAGCTAAGACCTAGTTTTACTTCAGATTAATTTTGCTCAACTCTACAATATCACCCATGTTAGCTCAAAATGCTTTTGATTATCTTCAGATAAAATTTACACTCAGCAAAAACAGTTCACTCCTGAGAATATGCGCATAGTCTAGCATTACTCAGGCAAGGACACGCACCCAGGTTACTCCATACCTAGATGTATGTGTACTGCTTTAAGTTCATGGGAAATTCTATTGTCACTAGGTTCTGACTTCCTAGGGACAGTTTAAAGGGGTCAGTACTCAGTGGAATGTATAATTACTTTTTCCTGAAAGATATTTATCAAAAATAATTTTAACAAGAGATTTTCCTGTTTGTTCCTATTTTAACTGGTTTCCCATTGGTGAAGGAAAAGGACAGACTTGCTGGCTTCATTTCTTCAATGAAATGGAAATAGAACTGCTAACACCTTGCTCCTCACCAGAGTTTCCAAACTCTTAACATAGTAGAACTCGTGTGCAAACGTCAGTTTATCCACCTAACGGTGCCTTACTGTGCTATGAGAGAGAAACCGGCTTGCACTGCATCCATTCATGGACTCTGAAGCCAGCCTGTGGAGTTCAAATGCCCCCTGCTTCATCGTAATTATGTGACCATGCCAGCTCCTGACAGGTCTGTGTCACATTCCTCAGCTGCAAAGTGGAGTAGTAATGCTACCACTCGCAAATGTCTATGGTGCGGTCTGAATTTGCTAAGATCTGTAGACGTGTTTGCGAATGGCTCCTGCTTGAGAAACACTATCCAACCATTAGCTATTATTATTATATGTTCTTTGAGGAGGGAAATTATCTGCAAACTGGAAAATACCTTGTAAGAGAGCTTCTTCTCTTATCACCCCCCCATGACATTGTGTTCCTCCATTAAGAAAAATGACACTGGAGTCCCTATTTGATTATTAAATTACTAATATAAATAGACATTTGATTGTAACCTTTCACCATCATTTTAATTTTAGCCAGAATTACCATTAAAATGTGCTGATAACCTTTGAATAAATTGACATGATACAGAGTCTGTTTTTCTCTTTTAAATACATTTTAGAATTTTATATGGGGTAGATTTTTAAGTATTCTTGTGAAGATTGCCAATTTAGGGCTGGGTGGCAGTACATACCTGTAATCCCAGCACCACAAAGAAAAACAAATTAAAAAATAAAGATTCCCAATTTATATGGAGGCATATAATCCCAGCTGTTAGGGAGGCTGAGGCAGGAGGATCACAAGTTTGAGCCCAGTCCGGCAATGTAGTGACTTAGTGAGGCGCTGTCTTAAAGCAAAAAATACGAAGGCATGGGGAAATAGCTCCGTGCAAGAACCCTGTATTCAATCTCTAGTCTGGGGTTGGAGGGGGCAATTGCTAATTTATGTAGAAGTAAACTAAACTAAAGCAATTGCAGAAGAGAAAAAAATACTTATTACCACTATCCCCTTTCTGCTACCAGACAGTATGTGCACGGTTAGAGTACACTAGAATAAACAAGTTTTTAAAAATTGTTACCAAACTGCTTACAATTTTGCAAAATTTCCACTCTGTTAAGACATTTAACGCCCAGTTCTCTTGAAGTTTTAATTTTCCGTGGCTAGTATGACCATCTTGTGTTTATTCCAGGTTTTCCCTCTGAGCCTTGGGTCTATCTCAGAAACCTTACTGTAGTCCAGAGTGCCCGCCACCTTGTGTCCAGGGTCGGTATTACATCGAGTACGCGTGGCAGCTCTTTCTGGCTGGCACCGGAAGTATGGAAATTCCCTACTTTAGGGAAGGAAGATCCTAGGAAGTTTTAGGATTCATGGTACAGCATTTCCCACGAGCCATCAAATCTTTTATTGCTGTTGTACTGATTCATTCGTCCTTGGAGTCATTAACTACTAAACCTATCTATATGGATAGCGTTAAAAAAACTCATGGAGTCAAGTTGTAGATCTGTGGGTATCGTTCAGTGTCACTGAGATATATTGCTAGTAATATATTTTTATACATAGTAATATATATTTTATATAAATGCATATTTATACAAAATTAAGAAGATAGATCAAAATCATGCAAGTGATTGCTTCTTGTGGAGGTGAATGAGATCAGAATGCAGTACAGTACAGAAGGTAGAGAAAGCAGATTTGTGTTTGGAACACCAACCAGAAGGCTGGCTGTGCATACCTGCCATCCCAGTTTATGGGAAGGCTGAGGCACAAGGGCAGCAGGTTCAAAGCTCGCCCTGGCAACTTGGCAAAACCTTGTCTCAAAACAAAATAGAATAGCCACAATAATGACAGCAGTAAGAACAACAGCAAGAACAAAACCCAACCAGGATAAACATGATTAACACTTGGAGTTGTTACAGTGCATTTTTACTTTTTTGTTTTGTATTTGTAATGGATACTTTGATATTTAAGGAGACAGTTCTACTGTTTGAGTTTCTCTTTCCAGTGTCACCCACAGTAAATTGAATATTTGTCCTGATTTTTTCAAGAGAGAGGAACTGCACGCATATAACTTTCACTACATTGTATTGCTATGACTGATTTTTGTTTTTAGAGGTTGCTGTTAATCTCTCACTATGCTTAATTGATAAATTACACTTTGTTATGGATGTGTACAGGGCGAAATAGTACCTGCAGGGTGTGTTTCTGTCTGCAGTTTCAGGTATCCACTGGGAGTCTGGGAAAGTATTCATGGAGAGGAAGGCCAGCTGTATTTCAAAAGGAAAGAAATGTCTGTCTTCTATTGTTAGAGAAGGAGGAAAAAAGTAAAAGAATAAGTATCCTTTGAATTTTATTTGGATTATTTAAGAGATCAAATGAGATGCTTAAAACCAATCTATGTAAGTCGCATTCTTTTGACCCCTCCCAAATAATAATAATAACTGGATATCACAATATCTCTCTTTCTTTGGCCAGGGCATCTAACTCTCAGAGGCTAAATCAGTCCCAAGACATTGATGGCCAGGTCTGTTTGCACTTCAGAAACTAAAGATTACTTTTCCCTAGTAATAAAATCTTCACACACAGCTTATGTTGACAAGATCTTATGTAAACAAACAAAAATGGGAGGTTTACCAGTAAGACCAAATGTAATAAATTACTACAGGGGCGGGTAAAGAGAGTGTGTGGGTGGAGAACGTGGACTCTAACGAGATATGGTCTGAGTCTCTGAAGACCCTAGGAGATCTCTCTGAGGCACAGACTGCGTTTATTTCTTTTCCTCCTACTAACAAGGTTTTTGTAAACATTGTTAAAGTGCATTTCTACTTTATATAACTGAAGAATTTATGAGCCTGTCTTTCACTTACAAGGTGTGGTACCTAACTTCATATGGCACGCAACTAACACCACATAATTTTCCCCGGAAACTCTCTGTCACCTCTCCTTTCCTCTCAAAATATTTGAGCATCACCGTGTCTTCAAATGGGTGTGACAGTTAAAACCTGTGATTGTGAAACCCTGAGAGAAGATGTTTTATTCATTTTGGATCTCAAGAACCTAACCGTGCATGAAACACAAATGTAAAAAAACACAGGGATTGTTTGCATTAACGAATATTTTAAAGTCCTCATCTGCTTTGGTTTGGTCATAGCTTCATTGCATCTTCACAGAAGCTCATGTGTGGGAAGGCTGGTCCCCTGGAGGAGCTGACGAGAGGTGGGGATCCCTTAGCGAGTGGGGCCCGAGAGTCGTCAGGTCTTGGGGTTCGAGGCAGTTCTCTGAGGGCTCTCGGTACAGCAGCTCTCCAGAGGGCACTGCTGTAAACGGTGGCGCCTGGCCCACAGCAATCCTGGACCGTGCCTCCACCTTTGCTTTTTGACGTCTGCTGGAGGGGGTGTAGTTAACCTGCATCCCTCACCCTCCGATCTGAGCCATGCTGCTACAGTTTGACCCCTGCACTGTGAGCTACATAACCGTTTCTCTCATGGGATTTTTTCGAGGGGATTTTGCTACAGTATCGAAAAGCTGGCTGATACTCTGTCCAAAACTACTTCCTTGTGGTTCTTGTTGCTTTCGTTTTCTGATGCTGAGGATGGAAGCCAAGGCCTCACCGATGCTAAGCCTGTGCTCTGCCTGTAGCTAACCCCTGCCCGCTCCAG